AACATCTTGCTGTAGTAAAATGTGAAAATACTAGACTATGTCCTAACAGAAAGTAGTAACCGACGAAAAGGCATAACATGCCATAGAAAAACATAACATAGAAAGAAGGGCAGTGAAATACACCATTGCATAACTTAGCATAATCGAGACATAGAGCTAAACATAGATGAAAACACAATTAAATCAATATGTTGGTATGCAAATAAGTATACAAGCATATATATATATATACATATACACACATATGTGTACATGTACATATACGTATGTGTACCTTATACACATGTATGTCCCAAGAACCGAAGATGCCCTGGAGATGGATGCTAACGCTACTTGAAGGCTCATGGGACTTAGTAAGTAAGGTTATAAGTAGGATATAATTAGGATAACCCCACTTAGGGGACTTATAGCCCCAATTATAACCTACTTACTAAGTCCCATGATCCTCTAAGTAGACCCTAAACCCTAAACCCCATAGATCCCTTTAAGGAACCCCTATAGATCCCTTTAAGGAGCCCTTTAAGGAACCTACTTACTAAGTCCAATGATCCTCTAAGTACAGGAGGACCTCCAGGTCCATAGGCCCCAGTGGCACGCTGCTGTAGCCTGCACGATGCAGTGAGGGGAAGCACTTGGGAGTTTCCGAAAATTAGGGGGGTACCTTAGGGTTCCTTTAAAGGGGTACTATATGGGTACAATAAGGGTTCTATAAAGGGTTTAGGGTTTAGAGTTTCCGAAAATTAGGGGGGTACCTTATTTTGGGGGGTCCTTAAAATCAGGACCCTACTATTTAGGGTACTACATTAATTAGGGTTCCCTGTTTTCGGAAACTCCCACATAGTCTAACCTACGCGTGATAGAAACCGCATATTGCTTGTTCAGAATTAGAAGCTGAATGCGACCGTGCAGACAGCAGCCGCAGGAGCCGCACTTAGTGGCGGATCACCGTAGCCATCGTCACCACCATCGCAATCGCTTCCATCATAACCATGAGGATGGTCATGATGATGACGAAGATGATCATAATGATGGTGATGCATTCGTCCTCATCATCAGCAGCATCATCATCAACATACTAAAACCCAACTACTAGTAATTACAAATATTCGCAACGATACCACTCATAGTTTTGGCGACCCATGAGCTCATTCGAGCTACCTGGAGCACCGCAGTTTGGAACAACTTCAGACATTAGCACAAGGTTCAGGGCCAAAAGTCTTGCACGGTTTAAGTCAGTCAACACCAGGTCTCGGTTTTAAAGGTTTAGGGTTAGCTAGAAAAACCCTTTGCCCAAGTTCGCGCGAGAAAACGCCCGGCAAGCTGGAGATAACCTCAATACTCCTGATGAATCCCGAACCCAACCGACGGCGCATCGAACCAAGGCTTCAAAACGGTCCAACTCAAGAAGATCATTAAGCTCATGCGATACTACCCTAAACCTTAAACCGTAAACCCTCGACACCTTCCTTCAAAACGTGAGGTGTCAAGGTCTGGGGTCGGGCTAGCATCTGACACTCCAGCTGTCGACTACATTTAGGTAATATATCAAAGGGGAAAAGGAAGGAACCCTAATGGGGACCCCTACCCTATAATGGGACTATTTAATGGGTACAAAAAGCTACATTAAGGGTATATACCTCGGGGGCCTTTTAAGGGTCCCTCCTTTTACCCTTGGAATAAAGGGGCCTTAATTGTTGAAATGTTGAAAATGGGCTTTCGAGTACATTATCCCATAGTTATATTCAGGAACCCCCCAAAGTAGTATAGGTAATTATTAAGGCTCCTGTATTAGGTAGCTGGAAGGCCTCCCCATACCCGCCGATGAAGAAGCACGGACGAGTAGAGCAGCTGGTATAGGACCTGGGATGCTGTTGCCGAAGTTGCCAGAAGACCTTCTAGGTTGTTAGGGTTTAGGGTCTTGAGGGTTTTGGGGGTTTAGGGGTTTAGGTTTAGGGATTTAGGGTTTAGGGTCTTGAGGGTTTTGGGGGTTTAGGGGTTAGGTTTAGGGATTTAGGGCTTGAGGGTTTTGGGGGTTTAGGGGTTTAAGGCTTTAGGGGTTAGGGGCACACTGCACATGAAGGTTTGATGCTTGCAGCCTCTCCCGCCCCTTCAGACATGAAGGCTTCTGCGGTCAGCCTCTCTCCGAAACCATGCTGGACCCCCCTAAACCCTAAACCCCTAAACCCTAAACCCCTAAACCCTAAACCCTAAACCCCTGAACCCTAAACCCTGAACCCCTAAACCCTAAACCCTAAACCCCTAAACCCTAAACCCTAAACCCCTAAACCCTAAACCCTAAACCCCAAGCGCCCAAGTAAACTCTGCTGCGTGATCCCGCGAGGCCTAACATCAACCCTTCAGCCTCGTGACTGATTCTGGGAGCCCCTGAACCCTCCATGACCTAGAAACCCGAAAAAAAAAAACCCACACCCTAGACCCCAAATCCTACACCCTACACTCTAAACCCTAAGCCCTAAACCCTAGACCCTAAACCCCTTAACCCCAAAATCCTAAACCCTATCACTGCCTCTTGGCTGGACAGGTAGGACAGCAACTCCAGCCTGCTCGCAAGCTTTGCTGGCGGAGCTCTGCCGACGCGAAAGGCTTTAGGTTTTTTCTTTTTGAACCCTCTTTTCCGTCTGCCCCGAAGGTTAGGTGGAACACCATGTTGGCGGAGGGACTGGAACAGGAGGCTCATTTAGGAAGGGGATTCACCACCTCACCACTACCCCATACTTTAGGGGCTAGGGTTTAGGGGGGAAGTCATCAAGAATGCAGTATAGTTAGTACCAGCAGCACGTGCAGACATCAAAGTATATGCATGTGCGTGTGTGTGTGTGTGCACATGTGCATGTAAATATGCATATATATATATATATATATATATATATATATATATATATATACAGACCTGTATACATATGCATATACCCCATAGATATGTATGTGGGGTATGTATACATATATATATATATATACAAGTATGTATGCATGCATGTTTGTATGTATGCACGTATGCATGTACGTGAGTATGTATGTACATGTACATGTACATGCTGCATGTGCGTATGCACATGTATACGCACATGCATGTACGCAGGTCTGCATGTGTGTATGTATATATATATATATATATATATATATATATATATATATGCATGAACGCAGGGATGAACGCATGCAGGTATATGTATGTATATGTATGTATATGTTTGTATGTGTGTATGTGTGTATGCGTGTATGTGTCTATGTGTCTATGTGTCTATGTGTGTAAATATAAATATAGATGTGTATATATATATATACAGGTTTATGTTCGCACACGTGCATTAACATATCGTAGTTAAGTAAACACCGAATTGGGCATTATGAAAAAGATATTTACTGTTTTTGTATTCAGTTCTTGTCCAGCAGGGCCGAGGCATAGGCCAAATGCAGATGGATGGAGAAGCGTGTGCATTATGCTTTTGGCACACGCGAAGGTGACTGCCTCATCTTTGTCCCAACAAAATCTTGAAAGCCTAAATAGAACAACGAATCTAAACCTAAACGCGACCCCCTAAACCCGAAACTTGCATTGATTTTTCGGTCAAGTTACTTTGTCCGCAAATTCCAGATAGTGATGCAGCTGTTCGCATCTGTGCGTGCTCTGGGCTGATGAGTGGGCACAAGTAAGCCACCCATGCAACATGCAGTCAGATAGACTGATAAAGGAGCCGCAAGCAACTATTGCAGTGGTCTCAATCAGGCCACCTCAGGGAAGCCTAGATAAGTATACCGCACCACCCAGACCTAACCTTCGCAAGCGACTGTGGCCCCTGTATCATGGGTGCTGGGTGCATCTCAAGGCAACTTCATGACGAGGTTGCACAACGGCGCTAAAGCGGCCGTGGCGAGTGGGCATTGTCCACCCATGCACCATGTGGTCAGATAGACTAATATAGGAGCCATTCGGCACCGATTGCAGTGCTGCCCCTTGAACCACCTGATAAAAGCTTAGATAAGTACACGAAATACTCCCACACAACATTTTACAAGCGACTTCGGCCCCTGTATCATGGGCGCAGATCGCGGTGATGTATCATATTACGAGGTTGCATAACCGAGAGACCGCGGCGAAACGGCCCTCGTGAGTGGAAATTGTCCACCCATGCACGATGTGGTCAGACAGGCTAACATAGGAGCCCTCCAGCAACTATTGCAGTGCTGTCACAAGGAAACCACCTCATAAAAGCCTACATAAGAAGACTGTATACTCCCACACAACTTTTTGCAAGCGAGTTCGGCCCCTATATTATCGGCGCATCTCGTGATTAATGCAGTACGAGGTGGCATAACCGAGCGACGGCGCTGAAACGGCCCTCGTGAGTGGGCATTGGCCACCCATGCACCATGTGTTCAAATAGCCTGATATAGGAGCTTTCCAGCAACTGTTGCAGTGCTGTCCCTGGAACCACCTGGCAGAAAAGCCTGCAGAAGTACACGACATACCCCCACACAACATTTTACAAGCGACTTCGGCCCCTGTATCATGCACGCATCTCGCGGTGATTGATGTATGAAATTACGAGGTTGCAGAACCGAGAGACCGCGGCGAAACGGCCCTCGTGGGTGGGCGTTGGCCACCCATGCACCATGTGGTCAGATTGACCGATGTAGGAGCCTTTCAACAACCGCTTCGGGTTTAGGGTTTTTTGGGGCTCGTACTAAAAGGCCGGCGACTTCGGCCCCTGTATCATGGTGCATCATCAATTTTTCAGAGAGGGCGTCGAAACGGCCCTTCCGATGCGGAGGCATCCACCACCAGCTGGGCTTGAGGCTCCCAAAAATAACACACAAACGGAGGAGGGGCGGTTATAATAGCACCCTAAACCCTAAACCCTAAAACCTAAACCTATTATACGGTTATATTGGTATGGGTAATTCTTTGGGCCTCTTAGCCGGATTTCAGATCAGAAAGCTGCCCGCGGCAGCTTGCCTTTCGAGTCTGCCTTCGCGAGTTAGAAGCTGAAGATCCACACACCGCTAGGCTCATCAAGGATTTGCGAGAATAGGGCTTCACCTGGGTTGAAAAGTACTTGTGAATAGTTACCTCTATCGGAACCATATAGGGAAATTAAAAGGCTTCCCACGTTGCGACCTAGTCACCGACCTTCAAGTCATAAGGCTCGGAGCTTGTAGACCGGGTGGATGGTGGACTTGAAAGCCCGGAGCTCGCTGGCGCGAATCCGACTGGCACCCTGGCCTTGAGGCCGTCCCGAATTTGCATCTGTGAGTCCGACCAGCCATAGTCTGGTCTGGCAGAGAGCCTTGATTCCTCCGGGCCCGCGGGCTGCCAGACGAGGTCATGAGCACGTCGTGCAGTACCACTTCGGCCAGAGCCTCCACGCTCGGCCTTGACAAAGTCCTTGGCTCCCTGGACGGTTTCTGATGGCAAGGAGGCATACAGCTTGCTGATCTCCCTACGGTCCGTGAGCTGCATACCGTTCTTGAAGAAAAGAGGTGCATGTGCGTCGTGGATCGCCCGGAACCCGAAGCGAGCCACATAGTAGGCGGCGTTGAAGGAGAACCCTTGGACGTTGCCAGCACATGCAACGATGTTCCAGGCCGCATTTGCGTCGTTGAGCATGTGGAAGAAATCCGTCACCTCCTTGGCCGCTCCGCTGTCCGTGAAGTTAATGAAGGCCAAGGAAATGTTAACGAGCTTGTGCCGGTCATAAGGAACATACACGAAGTCAAACCTGCTAGGTGTGACGATGTTGAGCATTGCCAGCAATGTATCGGTGGTCATTTCAGGAGGAAGGCGACGCAGCATCACTGTCGTGAAGGGTGCGCTAGACTCGCCCACTCCCGGGGCTCTGGCAACCCGACGCGCCTGGCCCTTCCAGCCCATGGCAAGAGAAAGCTAAGAGCAAAAAAGGACCGGATTCGGGAAGGCCAAATGATCTTCCTGAACACAACTGCGGGGACAAGAGAGGTTTCGCAAGCCAGCCCCCACCGTATTTCCGGGCGGAAGCAGCGCAGCACTGCGCCATCGAAACCGCACATATCCCAAGCACAAAGGCCGAGCATCCCGACCCCCCGGAACTAATCCAAGACCCAGGTCACCCAATCTCATCTGCTACATCCTGCAGAACTAGGGCTCCGACCCAGTAAACTCGGCACCCAGATGGTTCGCTCTGCCCTGCTGCTTGATGGCAACGGCCTTAGCGATGCTACTTGTCTCGGCATAGACGGCATAGACTTCAGCGGCACGAGAACCCCAACAAACAGCCAGGAAGAAGCAGCAAGCTTATGGGAGAGACGGCATCTGCACCAGCGGCACCAGCACATGTTAGGAGAGGAGCAGCAGCAATTGACAGAGGCTGAAGCCCAACTCCAAAGCGTCGAGCTCTAACTCTCCCACTTGGGAAACCAAGAAAGCGTCTGCCAAGAGAGCTGAGGAAGGGGCAAAGGAGTCGTCAGGGTTATCGGAAGACAGAACGAAGCGGAGTTCTTGCTGTGATTGGAACTCGCAAGCAAAAGAAACCCCTGGACAACACCTGCACGAAGAAGTGTTGACCAACAGACAGAAGCTCGCCTTGCCATTACTGTAGGGGCCTTAACAATTACCCATACTGTTTCGGGGGGGTCCTTATTATATTACAAGTATAATGGGCCCCAAAACCCTAAAGGCCCCTATATTACGAGGAGAAGCACGGCTGTCATGCGCAATGTTGTCGATGGCCCGGGTCAGAGTTGGAAATCTTCTCAACTTATTTGCCGACGCCCCTGCACTGCGAGTCAGCAGAAGCAGCAGAACTGCTGTGCACAAGGTAACCCCACGTCCGCAATGGAACGGCCCGCCCCAGGCTCAATTTTCGGAGACTCTTATCATTCGACAGCAAGACCCTGTGTCGAGGCCATTTCGTAAGCCCAACACCTAGATCTACCAGTTTGAAGTAAAGTTCACAGCAATCAGAATAGACTGTGCCCATCGTCCCTTTACAGTTTACTACACGGAAGCCGTGTCACTGTGGCTCCAGCACGCCCACTGTCTCTGAGGGCCTTGTGTTTGCGCCACCTTAGAGACGAAATGTTCCTTGTTTCTCCCTCCCATCTTGTGAGGTTCATGGATTATAAGTAAGCTAGCTATAACCCTTATTCGGGGCTTATAACCCTACCTATAACTACAGTACCCATGAACCTCGAAGATCCTCACCACACTGTAATTCTGAATCCTGACTGTTGAACATTGTGGATAGATATGTCTGGTCGATATAACTTCGGGTTGCCCTTGATGTCGCGCTTCGTCCACAATAGCCGCCGCTTTCCAGCGTGGGACGAAGCAACCACGGTCATCGTCATTTTGGCCGTGACAACGATCACGATATTCACGGTGACGACGGCAGCGACGACTACCACGACGACGAAGAAGACGACGCCACCACCACCGCTACTACCACCACCACCACCACCACCACCACCACCACCACCACCACCACCAATCCCTGCGACAACCACAGCGACCACGACGACCACCACGACCACCACGACCACAAGGAAAACGACAACGGTATGAACGACAGCGACAACGACATTGAAGGTGACCACGACGACGACAACCGCAACGACGATGACGGCCACAACGCCGACGTCGACGGCGACGGTGGCAGGGTAACGATGCCAACAGCAACAGCACGCCTTTTTCCAGTATGTTTCGGCCTTACACGATACCGGACTCTCAGTGAAGTACACGAACAGAAACTCGAACCAGGAAGTTTAAACGGCATGCAACAGTTCAAGACATCATGACTGTCTTTTTCAGGGACCCCGAACCCGTCCAGTCGGAGATCTTAAGCAGTACTTCGGCACCCCTCCTCCGCGCACGCGTGCTGTCAGATTGTAATGAAATTTCTTCTAAAATTTCTCCTAAGAAAAGTTATTATAGCAATAATTTAAATACAAAAATTAAATTTTAAAAATGACACTCCACCCCGCAAAACCCACGCTCAGGCCTCCTACAACCCAGTAGCTCCTCGAAGGTTGCATAGCTCGCCCAACTTCTGAAGGACCCCATAAATCTAAGCCCTATAAGCCCTATAATTCCGAGCCCGAGCTCCCTGAATCCCAAAAAACTGCCGACCCGAAACCTAAACCCTCGACCCCTAATTAAACCCCAAACACTCTGAGCTCTCGGAGCTCTCGAAAACCGGAGCCCTATACCCTAAACCCCCCCCCCCCCCCCAAAATGGAGCTCTAACCGACAGCTATGGGCGCTGCCAGACGCTCGCGATGGCCCAAAGCAGGCGATCAAGCTTCTGGAGCTCCTAGTAGGGAATTTAGGGTTTAGGGTTTAAGGAGTTTAGAGTTTAGGGTTTCCTATTATATTACGGAATTTAGTGAGTTTTGGGGTTTAAGGAGTTTAGAGTTTAGGGTTTAGGGTTATATAAGCGTCTTACCTAAACTCCAAACCCCAACACCTAAACCCTAAAAGCCCCGTTGTTGTTGAGGGCTCATTTTACCATTTCAGAAGGCTTTCCGAACCCTAAACCCTCTTAGGGCTTAAGGTTTAAGGGTGTTGCGGAGGCAGGGTTTGATCAAGGCTTTTGAGGGCTCTCCAGAATTCAGGTTTATGAAATGCAGGCTTTTTCGGGCCTGAAGCCAGGGATGATAGTAGTGCTGGGATTTAGGGAGTTGCTGATTCTAAGTTAGTAACATGGCGTATGGTCTAGTGTGAGAAGATAGGAGCTACATGACGGTGAAGGGTCGTACGGTTTACTTAGAGGATCATGGGACTTAGTAAGTAGGTTATAATTGGGGTTATAAGTCCCCTAAGTGGGGTTATCCTCATTATATCCTACTTATAACCTTACTTACTAAGTCCCATGAGCCTTCAAGTCGGGTTCCAGATTTAGGGTTTGGGGCTCGTTTTGGGAAAGGGGGGGGGGGGAACAGGAGGTCAAGGTTTGACGGTTGCAACTTGGGGCTATCAGCCTTGATGCTTGCGTTTTGGTTTTTCGGGTTTGGGGTTGCAGGTTCCACCTTTGAAGTTCGGCCCCATACTTGAAGGCTCATGGGACTTGGTAAGTAAGGTTATAAGTAGGATATAATTAGGATAACCCCACTTAGGGGACTTATAACCCCAATTATAACCTACTTACTAAGTCCCATGATCCTCTAAGTAGGCTCGGAGTTTCGGGCTTCGTTTTTTTTTTTTTGTTGGAGGGCCTTTTTCCTGTGCACGGAGAGCCTCCATGAGGCAGGCCTGGGTCTGTTTTAGGCTTTAGGGTTTAGGGTTTTAGGGTTTTAGGGTTTTAGGGTTTAGGGTTTTAGGGCTTTAGGGTTTTAGGGTTTAGGGTTTAGGGTTTTAGGGTTTTAGGGCTTTAGGGTTTTAGGGTTTAGGGTTTAGGGCTATGGTGACAGCGATAGCATGGGCGGCATGCAACGTAGCTATGACATCAACAACGCTATAGTGGGGACGAGAGCACTGCCACTGGCCACAGTGTCAGTGGCAAGGTGACTTCCAGGGTGTTGCGTTACAGACTTACCGTTCTTCGCATGACCCTCAAAGAGACCATGGAACGCCTTAACAGCTAGACTGCCAACGAAGAGCATGTGCACTCGCCACATTGGAGTATGTGCACGATGGCTATGCTCAGAAACGACGATGATAATCCTGTATCTGATCACAAGAACATTTCTCGCTCTCAACGAGGCTTACACCGAAATTCACCCGAACATGCCAATGGTATCCAATTTTCATGCCTGATCCTATTATACCTTCTTCCCGCTGCCTGCGGAATGCCAAGTGAAGAAAAGACCGTCCTGCAAAGAGCTTCCCTAAATGGAGATGTTTGGGCTCGCGAGTTTAAGTTTAAGTCTGAGGGGCGTCTAGGGTTCAGGGTTTAGGGTTTAGGCCTCGGACTGCCAAGATACAGGTTAGAGTGCAGGCGGTCGCATCAAAAGAATCGCAAGCTGTACCGGGCAAGCCTTATACACAGCAGAATGCAAACCCTTGGCAGGAAAGGGTGATGATGTGGGCTCTGTCGTAGAAACAGCAGCAACAACAACGAAAGAACCACGACAATAGCAACCACGACCAGGCAAAACAAAACACCACAATCATAGCCACCAAACGAGGAAGTACAAGCAGCAGGATCTCTTCTAAGTTCGGCAGAGAGGTACATCTAGCATTGTCGTTCAACGCGAGCTCCACGGGATCAGCATTACATTCATTACACCGTCGCAGTCGTCATCATCACCACCATTATCATCCACATCTAGAGAACCACACTAACAGAGCCATCGCGGCAGCAATATTTATAGCCATCAGCTTGGATTGAAAAGTCTCCTTATAAGCATGATAAACACATATTCCTACTCATCTCAGCAACACCATGCCATCAATGCGGGGGTAGTGGTGGTGGTAGTAGGGGTCGTCGTAGTCGTAGTAGTAGTAGTAGTAGTAGTAGTAGTAGTAGTAGTAGTAGTAGTAGTAGTAGTAGTAGTAGTAGTAGTAGTAGTAGTAGTAGTAGTAGTAGTAGTAGTAGTAGTAGTAGTAGTAGTAGTAGTAGTAGTAGTAGTAGTAGTAGTAGTAGTAGTAGTTAGTAGTAGTAGTAGTAGTAGTAGTAGTAGTAGTAGTAGTAGTAGTAGTAGTAGTAGTAGTAGTAGTAGTAGTAGTAGTAGTAGTAGTAGTAGTAGTAGTAGTAGTAGTAGTAGTAGTAGTAGTAGTAGTAGTAGTAGTAGTAACAGCAGCAGGAGTAGTAGTAGTAGTCGTAGTAGTAGTAGTAGCATTAGTAGTAGGAGTATTAGTTGTCGTCGCCGTCGTCGTCGTAGTCGTAGTCGTGGCAGTAGCAGTAGCAGTAGAAGTAGAAGTAGGTGGAAGTGGTAGTGGTGGTGGTGGTAAGTGGC